CTAGTAAATTAAAACCTTCTGTCTGTCTGTCTGTCTCTCCCTTGCCATTTCTTCCCTCCCGTCTCTCTCCACGCCAGCATCCCAGGAGCATCAGCGCCCAACTCAAACACTTGTAGTATTTGCTACTCTCCCTCTCTCTCTCTCTCTTCCTGGCAGCGAGTGTGTGCTTTATGATGCTCCAGTCCTCTCAACCTCCTTTATCTCACATGGAGGGAGAGAGAGAGAGAGAGAGAGAGAGAGAGAGAGAGAGAGAGAGAGAGAGAGAGAGATAACATTACTACAATATGCCTTTGTCTCGCACATAAGGAAGTGAAGAAGCTCTCACTAATATCTCCAAAAACAAATATCTCTTTGGAGACTTGAGACGGAGATCCTGTTTAATCTCTCTAATCTCCCGTCTCTCTCGGAGGTCAACTGAGGCCTCTCTCACTGTATCTCTGTCTCTAACTTGGAGGTAAATGAAGCCTTTGTTTATAACCACCTCTCACTGTCTCTCTCACTGTATCTCTGTCTCTCACTTGGAGGTAAATGAAGCCAATGCTTACATCCTTCTCTCACTGTTATACTCTCTCACTTGGAGGTAAACTTCCATCATCTCCTCTTTCTCTTCTCCTCTTACTCTTCCTCCTCCTCCTCCTTCCATCTCCAACCTTCGTGAACCAACAGACAGTCAGAACAAGCAGAGAGTCGTGTTTCAAGACAAGCAGATGAACCTCCCCACCATCACCTCCTCCTCCTCCTCTTCCTCTTCCCTGCTCCTCTTCTTCTCTTCCTTCTCCTCTTCCATCCTCCTAGATCACGAGAGAGGGGCAGACGAAGCTGTGGGTTGTGTTTCAGGACAGCTTGATGATTGTGTCAGCTTGAATCTATAGTGACAACTATAGTGCTGGTGGACCCTGGCTGAGACACTACCAGCTGAAACCATCTGAGACACTTGGGTATCGAGTCTCTCTCTCTCTCTCTCTCTCTCTCTCTCTCTCTCTCTCTCTCTCATTCACTATTTTACTGTTTTTAACTTCTGTTTGTTTCTTTTATTGCCTGTTTTTCTTCCTGATTTTCTTTTCTTATCTCTTCGTTGTGTTTTTGTTGCTCACTCGTTACCTTTATATATTTCTCTCTCTTCTTTCTTTATTTCCCTTTCACTCCCTGCTCTATCTATCTATCTATCTCGACCTTTATTTCTCTCTCTTTACTGTGACAACTCTGGTCGTCTTGGCCTCACTGAGACTCAGCAGCTGTGGCTAATTGGGACAAGATACTGAGTCCGTCTCTATCTGTCTCGTTGTGTTCTCTATCTCTCTCTCTCTCTTTCCCTCCCTCTCTCTCTCTCTCTCGTCTTCCCCTCATGAATTAGTAAAAGAAGCGACAAAGGATTAAGTTACAACACTAGTTTTCTTACATTCTTTCCCTTCTCTTTTTTCTCTCTCCTCCTTCTTCCTCCCCTCTCCCTCCGTTCTCCTCCCCCCCTCTCCCCCTTCTCTTCTTCCCCTTCCAAAACAGGTAGAGACAGTAAGAGGCAGCACAAGACTGTCGGGAACTTCGTCTTGAATCCCCTTGACGTCTGTGCAAATACTGTGGGACCCTGACCAACACCCTCCACCAGTAAGATCTGATCTCAACCCACACGTCTTGCCTCCCTCTCTCTCTCCTTCACCCCCTCTCTTCGTAACGTCCCTCTTTCTTTCACCTCCCTCTCCTCCTTCATCTCCCTCTCTCCTTCATCTCCGTCTGTCCGTAAAGTCCCTCTCCTTCTCACCCCTCTCTCCTTCACCCCACTCTCTCACTTCCACTCTCCTTCACCCCTCTCTCCTTCACCCCACTCTCTCACCCCCTCTCCTTCACCCCCCTCCTTCACCCCCCACCTCCTTCACCCCCACTCTCCTTCTCACCCCCTCTCCTTCACCCCCACTCTCCTTCACCCCCCACTCTCCTTCTCACCCCTTTCTCCTTCACCCCCTCTCCTCACCCCCCTCCTTCACCCCCCTCTCATAATATAACCAAAATACACCAATATAAGTCTGTATTACATAACTCATATAGTTCATAATTATAAGAGAAATAAAAAAAAAATTATGGGTTTCAATTTGTTAGCGTCACCCGGAGCTCACTGTAAACAAAATGTTAGGTTAGGTTAGGTTAGGTTAGGTTAGGTTAGGTTAGGTTAGGTTAGTGATTCAATTAGTCCTATGTTAGATTTGGTTGCTTCTGGGTGTTTTAGGTCGATTTAATTTGATGAAGTTAGAATGTGTTTTTTGGGGCATATTTGAAGTTTTTTTATGTGTATATTTCCATCACACCCTTGTCGCCCCTAAAGTGTGTGTGTGTGTGTGTGTGTGTGTGTGTGTGTGTGTGTGTGTGTGTGTGTGTGTGTGTGTGTGTGTGTGTGTGTGTGTGTGTGTGTGTGTGTGTGTGTGTGTGTGTGTGTGTGTGTGTGTGTGTGTGTGTGTGTGTGTGTGTGTGTGTGTGTGTGTGTGTGTGTGTGTGTGTGTGTGTGTGTGTGTGTGTGTGTGTGTGTGTGTGTGTGTGTGTGTGTGTGTGTGTGTGTGTGTGTGTGTGTGTGTGTGTGTGTGTGTGTGTGTGTGTGTGTGTGTGTGTGTGTGTGTGTGTGTGTGTGTGTGTGTGTGTGTGTGTGTGTGTGTGTGTGTGTGTGTGTGTGTGTGTGTGTGTGTGTGTGTGTGGTGTGTGTTGTGTGTGTGTGTGTGTGTGTGTGTGTGTGTGTGGTGTGGTGTGTGTGTGTGTGTGTGTGTGTGTGTGTGTGTGTACCTACCACTCAGACGTTCACTAGACCGTACACACACAATCCCTTATGAAGAGCCCTGACCTCCTCATCCCTGTATCAACCCATTATGACAACTGGAGGCCATTTGTTCCCCCTGACACACTCCTCACTAGCCATAATTACCCTCTGAACCCAAATTAAACCCTGATGACGTTATTACCGACCCGTAATGACCTTGTTAGTGACCCCAAACCACCCTAAAATATCGTGAGAATTCTGGTTAAGTCTCTAATTATCCGCTGGTTAGTTATCCCCTTAAATTGTTAGTCAAGAAAATGATAATGATATTCACAGTGATGTTAATTTTCTCTACGGATCTCTTGAGTACTCTTTGATGTCTTTCCTGACGATTAAGATGACTCCCTGTCCTCCTCTTCCTCCCCCAGTACCTCTTGTCGATGCTAAAGTACTCTTGATTAGGTCTCGTGTCCTCTCATGCGCCTCAAACTTGTCCTCGTCTTATGGCCTTCACAAAAAGCATCCTTGATTACCCATGGTATCCGCCCTCAAGCTCTGGGACCCACTCATATCCTTGTTTATTGCCTCTTGACACCCACGACCTCTCTCTCTCTCTCTCTCTCTCTCTCTCTCTCTCTCTCTCTCTCTCTCTCTCTCTCTCTCTCTCCATCTCTCTCTCTCTCTCTCATGATGACCTTGTTCACGACCTCCTGATGACCCCTGATGACCCCTGATGATTCTGCCCCAAGAGCATCTCACGGCCACGTTACCACCTTCCGCTCCTCCAGATCCTAAGGAAGGCGGATGAAGGAAATGGTGATAAAAGATGATGGAATGGTGGAGGCAAGATGGATGTGTGGAGGCTGCCGACCTTCTCAAACACCCACCACCACAACTACCATCATCACCAACCACCACTACCCATCCCCACCTATCATTACCTACTACCACCCACTAGCCCTACCCACACCCACCCACCATCACCCCCACCCACCATCACCACCTACTACCACCTCACCACCACCCACCATCTACTACCACCATCACTGTATCGTAAACATGATTTCATTAAACTGTTTTTCCCCCCATTCCCTCCCCTTTCCCCCAAGATTCTCAACACCAAGCTACTCCAGGTGACTCGGAAAATCTCAAACAAACAAATAAACAATATCTTCTGAAGGTAATAAAGCAGTGTAATAATGTTGTGTTCGTGTATCGTTCAGGTTTCTTCTTCCCCCTTGAGGTCAGTTAGTGTGTTCTGGAGTTGCTGACACGACTCAGGGCATCACGACCTGACTTATTAGTAGTATTTATTTGACCTGCGTCTCCCTTCGTTGTGTCCACTTACAAGTTTTCTCTCGTAATTTTCTTTTGTGTTGTGATAAAAGTTTGTCATTTCTGTTTTGTTATTATTAGCTGAGTTTTGTTATTTTTGTTAAAGATTATTTTCCTCGTTATATCTATTGCTGTTAGTTGATCAAAAGTAACCTAACCTAACCTAACCTAACCTAACCTAACCTAACCTAACCTAACCTAACCTAACCTAACCTAACATAACCTTACCTAACCTAACATACTTAACATAATCTAACCTAACCAAACAGTCTAACCTAACCCCAAATAACCAAATTTAATCTGATATAACATAGCTTTTACTAAGCTAACTTAATCTAATATAACCAAACATAATCTAATCTAACCTAGGATAACCTAACCTAACCTAACTCAACAATGGAGCATTTATATAGACACAATAACGTTGTAATTTGCATATTTTATCATACAAGGTGAATCTTTAATTACAATGACCAGGTAAATATTTAATTAGCATACACAGGTAATTATCTAATTGGAATGACCAGGTAAATATTTAATTAGCATACACAGCTAATTAGTCAGTTAGGTTTCCCAAGGTAATTCTTTAATTATAATCCACAGGTGAGCCTTTGATTATAACCCACAGGATTTCATTAATTAGAATCTACAGGTAATTCTTCAAAAAAAATCTAGCTACTTATTTAATTAACATCAACAGAATAATATTTAATAAGAATCCACTGACACATTTCTTTCAGTCATAATCCACAGGTGAGTCTTTAATTAAAACCTACAGGTACTTCATTAACTATAATCCACCTGTAATCCTTTAATTAAAATCCACAGGTAATTCTTTTAATGAGTATTCACAAGGATTTCTTTTAATTAAAACCCACAGGTAATGATTTAATTAAAATCCACGGGCTACAGGTAGGAGAAGGTGCTCCTAACTTTCCATTTTCTTTAAGTTTGGAAGCTTTTGGTGGAGGGAAGCTCTTGGTGGGGGAAACTCTTGGTGGGGAGAAGCTCTGGTGGGAGAGCTCTTGGTGGGGTCTTGGTGGAAACTCTTGGTGGGAGAAGCACTTGGTGGGGAGAAGCTCTTGGTGGGAGAAGCTCTTGGAGGAGCTCTTGGTGAGGGAAGCCTTGGTGGGGAAACCTTGGTGGGGGAACCTTGGTGGGGGAGAAGCACTTGGTGGGGAGAAGCTCTTGGTGGGGAGAAGCTCTTGGTGAGGGAAGCCTGGTGGGGAAGCTCTTGAGCCTTGGTGGGAGAAGCTCTTGGTGGGAGAAGCCTTGGTGAGGGAAGCTCTTGGTGGGGGAAGCTCTTGGTGGGGAAGCTCTTGGTGGGGAAGCTCTTGGTGGGGAAGCTCTTGGTGGGAAGCTCTTGGTGGTAAGCTCTTGAGTGAGGAAGCTCTTGGTGGGGAGATGCCTTGTGGAGCTCTTGGTGAAGCTCTTGGTGGAGCCTTGGTAGCTCTTGGTGGGGAAGCTCTTGGTGGGGAAGATCTTGGTGGGGAAGTTCTTGGTGGGGGAAGCTTTGGTGAAGCCTGGTGGGGAAGCTCTTGGTGGGGGTAGATCTTGGTGGGGAAGCTCTGGTGGGGAAGCTCTTGGTGGGGGAAGCTCTTGTAGCTGTTGGGGGGAAGCTTGTGGTGGGGAAGCTGTTGGTGGGGAAGCTGTTGGTGAGCAAGGTGGGAGCTCTTGGTGGTTGGTTGTTTTTCTCAACCAGTTTTTCCTTGATGATCTTGTTGGAGAAATCCCAAGTGATCATGATTAATTACCTCCTAGACCATCTTACTTAAATAGTGTTACGGTGATAATCTCTCTCTCTCTCTCTCTCTCTCTCTCTCAATCTTCGTTTTTCTTATCTCTAGCTGTCCCACTTTCTTTCTCCCTCTCACATTTTTCCTTCCGTTATCCCTCTCTCTGTTTTTCTCACTTTCTTTGTTTCCTCCTCTTTTCTTATTATCTTGCTTTTACAGTCTTCATTCTCCCTGTCTTTCTTTTCCCATCTGTCTTAGAAAATAAGTTCTCCCGCCCTCTATCTCTCGCTTTTCTCTTTCTCTCTCTCTCTCTCTCTCTCTCTCTCTCTCTCTCTCTCTCTAACCAGCGGTTGTTTAAGTCTCGCTGTTGCCTCGTTGTGTGAAGTCTGTCATCACGGGTCACAAAAATATCGCCAGGCCCTAAACCCCGGCCACTGAGAGCTCCTTTCAGACCTTCCTTATCTGCAAGGCATGAGAGAGAAGAGCCTCCTCCTCCTCCTCCTACTCCTGGTTTTTCCTTCTGCTCTTACTCATCCTCCTTCTCCTACTCTTCTTCCTCCTTCTCCTACTCTTCTTCCTCCTCCTGCTCTCCTCCCTCCTGCTCTTCCTCCTCCCTCCTACTCTTCTTCCTCCTCCTGCTCTTCCCCTCCTCCTCCCTGAACCAGTAGCAGCATCATCATTACTACCTCTTCCTTTGCTTCTTCCTTCTCCTCTTCCTACGAACCACCAATGCTACCATCACCTCCTCCTCCTCTTCCTCCTCCAAACCACCACCACCACCATAACCTCTCCCTCCTCTTCCTCCCTACCACCACCATAAGGGTCAACCACGATACATTCACCCATAAGACCTGGTTTACGATCACCAGGTACTGATTTACCACCCATAACTACCCTTGATGTATAGCACTATATTACCCCCTCCTTGTATAGTCTGAGCAGGGATTAGTTAGATGATATATGACCTTTAAGAAATCTCTCTCTCTCTCTCTCTCTCTCTCTCTCTCTCTCTCTCTCTCTCTCTCTCTCATTTCATCTCATTTCTCTCACTTTCACTCATATTTTCTCACGCACACTCTCAGTCTCTGTTTATCTTCCTCTTCTTGTCGCTTTATCACATTTCTCTCTCACGCTTTATCTCAATTCTTTCTCTCGCTTTAACTCTCTCTCTCGACCCCCAGCTGACTTGCCATATTTCTTGGTGTTAAAGAAGTGTTTTATCTGACCACGACAGTGTGTTGGCTGGTGGTGATGGTGGTGGTGCGCGTTAATGGTGGGGTAGTGGTGGTATAGTGAGGAAGTGGTGGTGGTAATGGTGGTGGTGATAGTAGTGGTAGTGATGGTAGGTAAGTGGTAGTGGTGGTGGTAGTGGTGATGGTGGTGGTGGGCAGTGGCGTTAATGGTGGGGTAGTAGTGGCAATAGTGAGGAAGTGGTGGTGGTGATAGGGTAGTGGTAGTAGTGGTGATGGTAGGGTAGTGGTAGTGGTGGTGGTAGTGGTGATGGTGGTGGTGGGCAGTGGCGTTAATGGTGGGTAGTGGTGGCAATAGTGAGGAAGTGGTGGTCGTTATAGTAAGGTAATCGTAGTGGTGGTAATGGTGGTGGTGATAGGGAGTGGTAGTAGTGGTGATGGTAGGGTAGTGGTGGTGGTGGTAGGGTAGTGGTAATGGTAAGGTAGTGGTGATGGTAAGTGGTGGTGGTTGATAGGATAGTGGTGGTGTAATGGTGGCACCGTGGCACTTGGATGGCAGCTGTCAGGTAATGGTCATGGCACTAAGGTAAACGAACGAGAATATTAGATCAGGCGTTACAAGACAAATGGAGAGAGAGAAGAAAAGAGAGAAGGAGAGAGGAAGAGAGGAGAGAGGTATGGTGGTGGTGGTGGTGTTGTGGTGGTGGGTGGTTGGTGGTGGTGGTGGTGTTGAGAGTGGATAAGTGGTGGTGGTGGTGTGGTGGTGTTGGTGGTGGTGTTGGTGGTGGTGGTGCTGGTGGTGGTGTTGGTGGTGGTGGTGGTGGTTGGTGGTGTTGGTGGTGGTGGTGGTGGTGGTGGTGGTGGTGTTGTGTTGTGGTGGTGGTGGTGGTGGATGGCTATCAGCACCTAAAGGTAGGTTCTTTCTGTAATTATGATGGATGGAGGCAGAGGCGGTGGTGATGGAGGTGATGGTGGTAGTGATGGTGGTGATGGTGATAATGATGGAGGTGATGGTATAATGGTGGTGATGGAGGTGATGGTGGTAGTGATGGTGGTGATGGTGATAATGATGGAGGTGATGGTGATAATGGTGGTGGTGATGGAGGTGATGGTAGTGATGGAGTGATGTGGTGGTGGAAGTGATGGAGGATGGTGGTAGTGATGGTGGTGGGGATAATGGTGGTGGTGATGGAGGTGATGGTGGTAGTGATGGAGGTGATGGTGGTAGTGATGGTGGTGATGGTGATAATGGGAGGTGATGGTGATAATGGTGGTGGTGATGGAGGTGATGGTAGTATTGGGTAAGTATGGTGATAAATGAGGTGATGGTGATAATGGTGGTGGTGATGGAGGTGATGGTGGTAGTGATGGAGGTGATGGTGGTAGTGATGGAGGTGATGGTGATAATGATGGTGGTGATGGAGGTGATGGTGATAGTGATGGAGGTGATGGTGATAATGATGGAGGTGATGGTGATAATGGTGGTGGTGATGGAGGTGATGGTAGTGATGAGGGTAGTTGTGATGGTGGTGATAGTGGTAGTGATGGTAGTGGTGATGGTGAGAGTGAGAATAGTGATGGTAGTAATGGTGGTGACGGTAGGAGTGGTGGTGGTGATAATGAGGGTGGTGGTTGTAATATCATAAGCAATGGAATGGTGATGGTGGTGATGGTGAAAGTGATAGTGGTGACAGTAATGGTGGTGATGGTGATGAGGGTGATAGTGGTGGTAGTGATAGGTGGTGGTGGAGGCAGTCTAATGAACTAAGCACTTTCATGGTAATTCAACAGCTTAATGACGAGGCGGAGATGGGAACGAAGGAGAGAATTGAGAGAACGAGGGAGAGAAAAGGTTGGATTAGATATTAACGAAGGCGGAGGAAGGAGGGAGGGAAGGAGAAAGGAAGGAAGGGAGGGAAGGAGGGGGGAAGTGAGAGAGGGAGGGAGAAAGGAAGGAAGAGAGGGATGGGGATATGAATAACAGGTACAGTGTATAGCTTGATAACATGGGCCAAGGTAATTTATTAATCAAGAACGCTTTACCTGTGAGGCCGGGAGGGGAGGGCGGGGAGGGAGAGAAGAAAGGGGGAGGTTGGGAGGTACGTGAAAGAGGGAGGGAGGGAGGGAGGTGAGAGGGAGAGAGGATTGGAGGGAGGGAAGAGGGATGAAGGACTGGAGAGAAGGAAGAAGGGTAGGAGAGGGAAGGAGGTTAGGACACGGTTTGGGATAGAAGGATTAGTTGTATTGCTTCGTTACAAGTCTTCTGGCCACACCAGCCTTAGTATATCACCAGGGAAGATGTGTGTGTGTGTGTGTGTGTGTGTGTGTGTGTTATTTTGTGCTGTAAATGTTTGATAGTATTGAGGAAAAGCATCACACACACACACACACACACACACACACACACACACACACACACACACACACACACACACACACACACACACACACACATCTCAACCTCGGCACATAACCCCATCTTAAACCCCGACAGAGTGAACCTGACCCCAGCTGTAGGTTCAAGACAACACAGTATTCAGCCTCTCGTATATTTACAGAAATACGAGAAAAATTACAGTGAATAATTTGGGGTGACGTCCTTAGGGAAATTCCCCTATTTGCCCTTACCATGTTTGTACAGGGAGAAAAATAATTACTATGGCCAGTGTGCTGATGGTTGACGGTCCCTGTGAGACGAGTAATTAACTATGTTCAATTTCATAATCTCTCTCTCTCTCTCTCTCTCTCTCTCCTCTATGTCTGTATTCCATGTCATTTTCTGTCTGTCTGATTGTCTCTATATGTCTTTGTCTATCTGTACACACACACACACACACACACACACACACACACACACACACACACACACCAGCCATGCTTCAAGTCTTCGTATTGTTAAAAAAAAATTAATAAACATTATTATAAACCATCAAAAACATAATCACCCAATTTAGGTTCAAGTCACAAGTCATCTTCAAGTTGTACCTCAAGTGATCCAGTTAGACACTTGAACTTTCTCTCAAGAGCCAATTAAAAATACCGATAAAGTCAGGTTAATAATGATTGATGTTTGAGGCGAACGTTACCTGGTAGATGGTGATGTTATAATGTATTACTACGCTTCAACAACCGTTCTACTCAGTCTTACCAGTCTAACCACAGTCTAGCCAGTTTAACCACAGTCTAGCCCCAATATAACCACAGTCTAGCCAGTTTAACCACAGTCTAGCCAGTTTAACCACAGTCTAGCCCGAATATAACCACAGTCTAGCCAGTTTAACCACAGTCTAGCCAGTTTAACCACAGTCTAGCCACAGTATAACCACAGTCTAGCCACACTCTTCCCTCAGGAACATGAAACACTACGTAATAAAATACTTGTACACGTTGTTTAAAGCTTTTCTGACCACTCACAGGCAGGGCGGTGGACGGTGTCGACTCAGAAAGACAATATACATTTATACCAGAGATTAAGAGCACCAAATATACTCACTCACATGTTATGAACGCATATACAGTACAGTACGGTATGCCCGGTATATTTACAGTATATATTGGGGAAGGGGAAATGTTTTGGCTGTACAGTAAACCCTCTCAATAACGAACTTCTCAATTCAATAAGAGTAAACCCTCTCAATAACGGACTTTTCAAAAAAGTAATGGAGTAAACCTTTTCAATAACGGACTTCCCAATAAAGTAATGGATACAGTAAACCCTCTCAATAACGGACTTCCCAATAACGGAATGGATACAGTAAACCCTCTCAATAACGAACCTCTCTATAAAGTAAAGATAACGTTTACTATCACCTACATAA